TTGCCATATGTTGCTTAGAATGATTAGGTAAATTAAAATGTCTAGCGACTGGTTTCCTCTATTCGCTCCGACGAAGGGCTAACGCTCGAAACGTCAGTTTTTGTAATCGTTACGGTGGCCAATTTACCATTTCAACTTTGTTGATATATCCAAATTATTTCGTTACTCCCACCGACGCTGAGCCCCAAACAGTTTCTTTCGAAACTATCAGCCTTTATGCTTGGATTTGTCTCAATCGGGAAGCAATCTCTCTTCCAGAAATTCAAATTTTCATGTAATTATTTGGAAGTTGCTGGATGAGAGAATGATATCTTATTAGTTGAAAACAAAAACTTCGTTGCTTTAAGTAGCATTGAATTGAATTTATTTTTCCTCCAGTCCCAGTGAGCTGTACGTGTGAGACTCATCTCAGCAGAGAGCTTTTTAATGAGGTTTGTAATAATTTCAGGTCATATTGATGTTCAACAATCTCCACAATCTTCAATCTATCTACCGGCAATTTGGAAATTATTTTAACCCGCAATGGGTTTTTCATTAATCTAAGGCATTGTGCACAGGATTTATGGACCCAAATCAGTGGTGTAAGATTCAGTTTACTTCAGATTGGCCTCGTGTGGGCATTGATTGAATTATAACCTTACAACAATCCCAAAAGCATACGTGTGACATTTTTTTGGAGATTACGGGAATCAGTAGACGTCTTAGTGTAAGGGTAAAACATTTTGATAGGAGAAATCTGGTTTAGAGAGAACGTAACTTGTTTGTAGATTTCATTTATGACATTATAATTTATTTTTAAAAGTGCGCGTGCTTTATATGACTCGAGACTCGAAAATAAGAAGAGCGCACTGTTTATGTGTCTTAAATGTTGCTTTGTGGTTATTTACAGGAGTTTCCTGTTAGCGTAGATACCCTGTTTGAATTCCTGTTCACAGAGTCTGACTTCTACAAAAGAGTACAAAAGGAGAGACGAACAAAAGGTGCGATTAGATTAATCCTCCTCACTCTAAAATCAATATGCATTTATTTTCCATATTTTCTTTATCGTATTTCATCTTTCATAAGTTATCTTTTTCTCACCAAAGATAAAAGCAAGTTGTTGCCCTCTTCTTTATATGGAACTCTTTGATTAACACTTTTCGCAGTTTCATATAGGGGTTTCGTAACGATGTTTCGAGTCTTTTAGGGTGTTATGAGAAACTATCCCCAACTTGATTTTTTCTACAAGTCATAAGTTATTTTCCACAAACGGAGAGCATTCAGCTCTAAGTCACAGTAAACTTGAAAAAAAGATTAGTGTTCAACGTTATATCTTTTAAATTGACAAATCTGTCTTCTGGGCTTGATCACTGATAAGTCAAAACTTGCATAAGAAACGCCAATGTGCCTATATTTTGTCTCCTTCTCGGTTCCCCGCGGAAATGAGACTTTAAAATAAACCAGCTGGGAAAAATCAATGCCTTACTAGCAAAGTGCGGTAAGCGCTTACGTGTCTTACAACATCTACATGTGTGTCAAGCGTGCTACGTGCAAATTCCACTGGTGATTGTAGTTTTGTTTTGTTTGTTTGTCTGTTTTTTTTTTTTTTGTTATCATCTTTTTTGAACGCTCTATTATTACTTCTATTCTCTGTAGATCTGGTGTTAAACCCATGGGAGGTAACAGAAGATGGTCAACGTAGAATACTCACTTACACCGTTTCACTCAACCACGCGATTGGACCCAAATTTTCACCAACAACAGAACATCAGGTGAGCTTGGTGATGATTGTTCTCCTTTGCAAGTCGGTTTTCGATATAATTGAAATGGTTTTCATCAGGCATTGCAGAATGGAGACAAGAGTAAATTCAAACCTGGCTCCTATTGGTCGTCTACTGCGCATTCAATGTTTCGTATGTCGCACAACGCGCGTTATGTAACAAAAATGGTTGCGAAGGGGACTAAGTTGCTACATAATCTTCTAGTTGTATTTAGAAGGTCAAAATGAGGAGTAAAATACGATGGCGATATTGACGTTCAGAGTTGAGCTCTGTCCAAATGATTAGGGGTGCTGTGAAAGTTTCAAGCAATCAGGCTCCATGTTGTTGTCTTCATTAATTGGAATCTATTCTAATCCTTAGCACTGTTTACCGGGAAGTAGTCAGGGAAAGGTGTACGTTGTTCACGTTGAGGTTCGTGCTCTTGTACTGTTTGACCAGAAGCTGCATTAACCCTTTGACTAGCATCTAATTATTCCTTACAATATCATCCCTGAATCGCGCAATAAGGTCGCAGGAATGAAGGAAATGATCACCAACTAAACAAGGTATTGATTGTTGCTAAATTCTCCCTGGTGACACCTTAGGGAATGTATAGAAACAGTATGGAGAATATGTAAAATGATACTGAAGTTAGAGTGTAAAGGGTTAATAATATCTGTCATGCTAGGTTGTTGTAGATATTTTTTTCCTCTTGGCACATGGGTCGAACGGTTGGCGATGGATAGAAGCAATTTTTCTTAAACTTCTGACGGACACGAGCACAACCTTTTCGACCAATCGTCTGACAAAAGAACTTTAAAAACAAACCAAAATAGAACGATTTTCGTCGTCTGTTGTCTCTATGTGATATTTTCTTTTATTTTTAAAGTAGCTGTCATTTTTTTTTAGAATTATTTTCTTGTTTTGTTTTGTGTGAGTGTGTGTGTGTGTGTGTTTTTTTTTAATAGCAGTTGATGGGATCAGGTTATTTTGGACAGAACTTGGTTTTTTTTTAATGCTTCATTTGATTTACAGGTAAAAAACGATGGTATTCCATATGGCGATAGTTTTAGTGTTCACTGCAGATATTGTTTGACCAAGGCTTCATCTATGGCCAGCAGATTAAGGTACAATTCCGAAACATTGCATTTCGTATCCTTGTTATATCGTAGGCAGCGGCGCTGGCGATATAAATCGAATCATGTGTTCTGACTGGCTACTCGATCGAGCGGGCTAGATAGGCCTATCTTGTCCGCTTTGATCCCGCCCAAGAAAAAGAGTGCGTGGTGCGGACTTACAAAGATCGTCAGAAACGGCAGAAGGCAGTCAGAGCAAAGTGAACGTACGATATTCTTGTTGGTTTGTTGTTCCGCAAACACATTTGGCTTTCTTTCCTGGCTTTCGATCTTTGAAAATACTGTTTTGACCGTGCTTCTTCGGTCAAGTTGGATATTTTAGCTTCGTTCGTTCGTTCCCGTTTTTATGGACCTCGACCTCGTTTAAGCCATAAAAACGCGGAAAAAGAACCCGGTCAATATCCAGCATCTTCACCTCACGCTTTGTCATTAACGCATATTTAAAGAGGTAAATCGTTATTTTCTTGTGAACACTTTAATGGATCCATTATAGTTTGACTCTATGCTGTATACACGCCGGCATATAAATACACCTCATTCGATGGTTTAACATATAATACACGAGGATATTTTGCGAGTTTTGTTTTTTCTTTCCAAACCCCGTACGGATGTGAATTTATTTTTTATTCCACTATTATTTCGTTTTCGATATACTTTCTACGGCCTTGAATGAAAATCGCGTAAGGCGGTAGCAACACAAACGGAACCATTAAATGCGCTTAAAAGTTGCTCAAAAAGACAAGCCTAGAAAACGAATAAAATCAAACTTTGGACCGTTCACAAAGGCTATTTTGTTGCCCCCCTCTCTGTCTTTTTTTTTTCCTGCTTTACCGGAATATGCATTGCCATGGCATGATTAAATTGTGCATTCCCATGTCCTAATATGGTAAAATGGCGTTTTAGTGGATTAATGATAACTATTACTACATAGAATGTAAGGAATGTTGTGTGCTTATATGCATGACTTATTTGTGAACTTTGCCCGCTATCCACTATATTTATAATGTGACGCATAATGAGATCGACTGATAGGTGGCGTCATGTCACCAACACGCCGGTTTCTATACGTATTGTAATTTCGTTCTGGTTAGCAGCTATTCAAGCGTGGACTTGTTTTAATAGTAGTGTTATTATTTTATATGTTACCTACTGCTCTGGCTTAAGGAAAAGCACAGAAAACACAAAGTAAATCTGACTTATGAGTGAAATTTGCTCAACTGCGTGACGTAGAATGATCGGCCGGAATGTGGCGGTACGGCCTCATTTTACCACATACATGTCACGTTCTCAAACGGTGCTCGGGAATGTATTCTGGTAGCAACTACTTCTAAAATTTTACGTGTGTCATTTATATTCGTTGTCTACTTTGGTAAACAAAGGGAAAAGCATTAGAGGCATGAAACAAAATAAAATTCTTAATGGTTCTCAAAAGTTTTGATGATTAAACTGGTCTTCTGTGATTTGTATGAAATGATGCTACACTTGCCCACTGATATGACTCCATATTTCTTATCCTAGTTGTTTCAGTTTGTTGATGTTATATTTTTGAATTTACCACAGAATATCAGCCGAAGTCAACTATCAGAAGTCAGTATGGGGGTTTGTTAGAAGTAAGTATGCGTCAAATTTCTGTAATCGTTACAAATGTGCCGCCTTGTGTCTTGTGGTTGTATTTGAGTGAATTAGTTTAGGAAATATTGGACTTAGCCAGACTATTTTAGGTTACTTAGAAGCTAAACCATATGCTCCTCGTCCCGTGTGGGTCCAAAACCGTGCGGGAACAAGAACTACGACCGTTCGTTTTTTCGTGGACATGTCCCCTTCAAAACTCGCCCTTTTCATCGTCGGATGAAGGTGTTCGAACGCCTTTCGTCGGTGATGGCAGACTTAAAAAAAAACCTACAAAGCCGTTCTTCTCACTGAGGCAGTTGACATTTCCTCATCGTTATTATGACAGCTTTGCGTTACATTAGGAAAACCGTATTTACCTCGGCCGGTGTTACGCACGAGACTCGGTATTTGTGGTCAGCAGTTCGTTTTTGTTCCTTAAGTAACAGGCAATATCTTCAAAAGTAAAACTGCCCGGTTTACTCTGTGTAAAGGATACAAAACGAAGTCATTGAAATATTGAAGTCCCGCCTTTTTTGTATACTTACTTATTTGTAAATCATTTGTCTATTGCAGTTCCGTCTTTCTTTATGATTACTTATTTGGAGTACAGCCCCAGATCGATTTGATTACAATTTTAATGATCGTATTGTTGTCCGACAAGCACATTCAAATTTTGGAAATCTGAAAAACCTGATTGTAGAAGTGCATTTTTCAACTTTCTAAGGAAAAACAAAAAGCAAAGGGCTGTAAAGGAGATGCTGTCGAAATGGGAAACGGTCACAAATACCATCTATAGGAGGTGGAGTGTGGTAGAATCTCTTCGGCTTCAATCGCCATCTGTTCGATTTTCGCTATGAATTAATACATGGATTCTATTTGGGAGTCGAAATAATGTATAATTTATGACACCCAGCAAAACAGTCATTGCTTTGATTGTAGGGTACATAAAATATTTGTTGTACGGGTTGCAGGCAGGGTTTTCATTGGTAGATGGTTATTTTCTTAGTGCGATTATGTCCGTGTTTTGTGACTGTGTGTCATACTTGTAAATTGGTCCCTGTCTTTAGAAAAGATGCTTTTATATTCACCCTCGTGAATCAGGTGCAACAATCAGTCATTCTGATCAAAGGTTGTGGATCAAGGGTTTGGATACATGTTATTTTCTCAGATAGTTTGAATGTGTGTTTTCAAATTCTCTGTAAATTTCGTTCCTTTCACCGGTTGGATTAGACAGGCAACATTTATTATGTAGCTCAGCTCAGATTTTGGAAATTTCCAAGGTCAAATTGTTCCGAAAGGGAGATATTCCCCACCTTTTTTTACCAGTACGTAGATCTATTAGTTTTGATCGAAAAAAGACCAACTTTGAGCTAAAATTTTAGGGGTAAAAATATTTTAAATAGACTTTGTTTTCGGTAGATGTATAATAAAGACACTATATTTTTATTTGGAGTGAAAATCGTGTTGATGCCATAGGCACTTTAAAGCGGATGTATTTTGAATTTAAATTTGTAATGCAGTGTTGCCTATTTCAATGTTGGTTCTGGTAAGTTGGCAAAAAGAAATGTTAAGTATCTTGTGCCTAGGGTGTCTGGGATGATGATAAATTTGTACATTCGAAAAGGGAAATTAAAGGTTTTTTGTACCAGTTTCTATGTTGGAATTCGAGTGTTTTTCTTAAATCTTCTTTAAAGTTCTCTTTTATTTCGGCCTTTCATCATCCAAGCAGCTAACGGTTCGGTAGCTCGACCGTTTGTCGAGTAATGTAAAGTCAATAAGGAAGTCATCTTAACTTACCAACGCGTGGACAATAATTGCGGGCTCAGAGCTCGTACACTGGTTCTCGTTTCCCCTCACATACAGGAAACACAGCGGTCAAACATCGGGCATGCGCAAGGGAATCGAGTCCGGCCGGCGACGCACCAATTTTCCGCGTAGAATTTCAAAAGAAAACATAAGAAACAGCCGCCGTCTCGCAAAAGAGGCGAAACAAAATTGAAACGTTCATAGAAATCTGTAAAAGGAAAAAAAGTAGGGAAAAGGGAACTTGAAACTTTTAGAACAAAAAGCTTAATTCAAGTACGGATATCCTGTTAATTTATCTTTCTGTTTTGAACTTTACCAAAGAAGTTCTACGTTTTTAAAACACCGTAACTTGTCAGTGTAGTTGTCTGTAACTCGTGTGAGACAAGTTGGGTCGGACAGCGTGAAAGCACACCACCTAGTCAACGTACGCACCTACCGGTGTGTCCATAGAGAATCATATGTCTTTACCTGTTCCCCCGTTAGCTGCCGCTGTACTGAGACTGGCCTTAACTGGTTTTGCGTTTTGCTTCACAGATATGATAGAGAAGAATGCATTGGAAGGTCTTGAAGGCTACTTTAAATTTTTAGGTAAGTTGTTATCTTTTGTGGAATGAGTGGTCATGGCGTTTTATCTTCAAAGCTCATTGAACAAGATGAATTAGTGAACGTAATTTCACTTAGCCCACGATAAGGTACGAGGTCTTGAGCAACGCGAGCCGGCGAGAGGTCTGCAAGCGGTCTGGAAATAATGACCCCCGGCAAACGTCTCCCTCCTCGTCTCCAATCTCCCCGCGGGCGCAGAAACGCGCGCCCTGCAGCATTAATAATCAGGGCTAACGCTCGAAACGTCAGCTTTTGTAATCGTTACGGTGGCCAATTTACCACTTCAACTTTGTTGATATATCCAAATTAATAACGAGGGTTTATTCGCAAGTTCAATTTCGCAAAGCTCATGGGAAAGAGGTTTAAAGCATTTTTTTGTACTTGGCTATTTTAAAAGTTCGATATTTCAACATCCAAGTTGGACTTTGGAGTGTAATCTGTTGGGAAGAGAAAAAGTTCGAGGAAGGGCCTCGGAGTAAGAATGATCACTGATTACAAACTTAACCTGTGATGTGATACCAGGTTCAGGAATCTCTCTCGGCTACAGTTGGGAAAGGGTGTAGAGGGGAGGGAGGGGAGGGGGATTATCACCACTCTTCCTCCCCTGGCCGGAACTTCTCTTTTCCTTGGCTTAGTTAACTCGCACAGTTTACCTCACATGGTGTCGTTATATGGTTTTTGTGCAGTGGAGAGTCTGAGAAGAGAAACTACAGAAGGACAGTGGCCTAAGAAAAGGAAGACATCGCCAACCAGGAGACATAAGAGGAACCGTAGTATTAAGAACAAGGAATCCATGGAGACAGCCACGGAGAAGACTGAGAGTAAGTTTCGCCGGAAGTATAAGTGACTGAGTCAAGTTGCCGGAAGTGATTAAACTGGAAATACACCAGACCCGTGAATCTAGTCATATACAATATGAATCTTGTTTCAAAGTTAATGGCTGTCTGTTATCTACACTGACCAGTAGACTCAAACAGTTTAGTGACACGGTTGTTTTAAGTAACATGACTGAGTGAAATAAGTTAGGTTGTGAAAAGAATGTCCCGTGAAGATGACGCCCAACTAATCTTGAGTTTATTTGTAATTTGTTATTTCTTACTGTTGCTGTTTTTAGAGGTACAATCAGGCTGGTTGCGGAGATTGTGGCCGAAGACAGCAATATCTGGTTTGTTAGGATTACGGTGGGTGATTTGAAAAACTCATAATTTGTGTTTGTCTAATGTGCGATTAGCTATATGCTCAATTTTCGGCCTGCAATGCGGCTCATTGCGGTATAGACTCATTACTTGTGACAAGAGAAGATAATCCCAATACGCCTTACCTTGCTTTTTTTTATTTTACACTGACCGATGGGAAACGATAAAATTTCTTCTTTTTTTCCCATAGGTCCTATGTGCCGGAAGTTGCGCTGAAAAACCCCCTTGCCTTGCTTGTAACAATACTGTAAGTTGCAGACGTCTTGTAAATTGCAATTTAAAAGTAAGGAAGAAAAACGAACAAAAATACAGATAAATAATAATGAAGCAGCCAAATGTTATGGCTTATAAAAGCCCTGAGGTTCTGGGAGAACGGTTTGTTGAACCATCCGGTTTGTTCTGGTCACGACACTTCTTTCAATAGCAATTCTTTAGAAGACAATTATTTGACCGTTGCCGTTTCGACTGATCGACGTCTCGTATGCAAATATCTTACGATCTCGTGGCTCTGGGAATGAAAACAATGTAACTTTCATTGAGTGCTGTTTTGTAACGAAACAATGACCATCTTGTCAAGCAGCAACAATTTATAATGTGAGCGAGAGAAGGTATTCCGTTCATACGCGCCATTCTTAAGAGGGAGTTCGTGGAGGATGTCCAAAGATTGTATTGAAAGCGCTCGATCCATTGACGAAGTGTGGTGTTTTCGTAACAAGGCATTGTGAGTTCTTAGCAAGTTTATCTTGTTTATTTGATTGTACTCCCGAATAACGATATGCTTATTATTTAGAATTTGCAACACGAACGGCTGTTTGCGACCTGGAATTCAAATAAGTTCGCTGATGTACGAAATTCAAAGAAATATGGTCTAGTCGACTATCAAACAAAGGAACTTTCAGATAGCACCTGTTTCCAAAAGTTCCGGTTTTTTTTTTGTACGTTAGGGCTGGTGTAGTAGTTAGTATTATTTTAATTCTCTTGTTTATTCCTTAGTCGTCCGTTACGTGGTATATTTTCAGTTTCATAGGCTTTAATCGGTCGCTAGATGAGATCAGTTCGAATCTCAGGCTTTTTAATTATGTGTTTCCTTCTCTCCTGCTTTGCACAAGTAGCTGATTATTTTTACTTCAATCCATGATAGTAATTTATGTTACTTCGATCGCAAATTCTAGACCGTTAGCGTTGCATCATTGTAAAATTAAAAACGTTATTCCTTGTGTATGCGGTAGTTAAAGCATGCTTGGTTTACCTTTTCATCCACTTATTTTCTTTGTTCACCGAGCAGTTTTCACCGTAGATTGTTTGACAATTTCCGCTTTGGCCTTAATTTGAATTTCTTGAATAACTAGCTCTACTTTCTACAGACAAAACATCTTGAAATCAGCAAAGTTTAACCACAGTTAATGCATTGTTTCGACAAGCCATAGCGAAACTCGCAGACGGGCCGTCACCGAAACGAATATGAGATAGTTGTTGGAAAAAGCTTTTTGAACAAGCTAATGTGAGCTTAGTAGTTTTTCGTCTTTAATTTGTCAAAGGTTAGTCCATCTTACAGATCTAGCGAGAAGTAAAATATCGGACAGGCCACGAACTTCTTGGAAAAAATTTAATTAGCTTTGAGAAAAATGGGCACTAGAAGCTAATGTATCGTCCTTTGCCAAGTGTTTTGATGAACACGCCTTTCGGAGTTATGTACTTAGTTTTAAAAGTGACGTTGAAACCTACAGCGCTTTTGTTATAAACATCTTGTTTTTATTTCGGCAATGCGCTTTAATTTCGAAGAACTAAAGTGCAGACTGCAGACATCTGACTCGGTGTAAACACGGAGCGGCGACCGTTATTCATATCCACTTGAAGGACGAACGATATGCTGTAATGTGAGATGTTTTGTTGCTGAATAAAACAAATTACGTCCAGTTTCGAGATATTCACAAAATATACTTGTTTGGTTGGGTATAAATACACTAAAGAGATTCTAGTAAACGAAAAAGGAACGAAAATTTTTGTGGATAACGAGAATGGACATTCATGGATTCCAAATGACGAGTTTGACAAATTTAGGATTAGCTTTTCAAGATTGACGTAGGTTCCTTAATCCTAGACTTAAAATAATTCAGACGGCTGTCATTAGATGTAACACCAGCGTATTATGTGTGATACCAGTTTGGATGTGGAAAGTGATCGAAGGGCTGTGCTGAAAGTCATTGCCACCGCAGCTGCTTACTTCACAGAACGAGTTCACTCATCCTTTAGCAAATAACGTGTCAACCATGTAAGCCGTGTCGTTATTTTTACTACTTTTCGATGGTTTGAGTAGATTAACCTCAGCAGGAAAGACCCTCAGAACACTTGCTTGCCTCACTAAAAAAATCACCAAAATGACACGAGGAAGCTAAAGGATGATTAAGAAGATTGACACTGGTTGTAAATTTCAAAGTGGAACAATTTCAGTTCACTGAATTAGACCGCAATGATATCGACAAACCACGACATAACTCTACGACACTATAATTTCGAAGCATGTCATAACCGATTTATTTAATAATAATATGTTAGTTTAGTCGGGAGACGGTAGAAGTAAATCACTGATGCTTTTCCTTCACAGGCTTGGAGCGTTGCTTTTGTTGAACTTGGTTCTCGTGTACAAACTGTTTTTACTTGAACGCGCAACTCAAACAGGAATTTACTGGGATGGTAGCATCAAGTGAGTTGATAAAAATTCATTGAAGAGCCCCGTTTTCCTGCAACAAACCCTACAGTTTTGGTTTTAAAGTACATCATCCTTCCTTCATTTTGAACTGTTTTGTCTGGATGGTAGTGGGCTGTGAACCACAATGTCTGCATGCACTTTGACGCCGAGTGTACAAATTTCCTTGCAACTCGTTAATTTCATTATAAGCTTGGCCTGGTTAGAGTCGGAGTTTGCCAAGTGGCGCGAGTAAAGTTTGAGGTGCATGTTGGTAATATTCTTTAAACAGGGGTTTTTACCTTGATTTGATTTTAAGACGAGCGTAACTTCGCTTGTACGTCAATGAGTCTTTTGAAATCGCAGAATGATTTTTTAAATATGTATTGGGCTATTTGTTTTTGAGAATATCATGATATGATGATATTGTCACCATAGTACTGTTTACCTTTGTTAGGGATTTCCCAGCAGATGCTAAGGAGTGGGCAGAACTCCTCCAACAACAGAAACATATCCAACAGATAGAAATGAAAAGGTGAGTAAGTGCAGGGCTGGCTGTTAGTAGCCCAGTTCTGCTATCTCTTGGCCATCAGGTGAAAAGGTGAGTAAGTGCAGGGCTGGCTGTTAGTAGCCCAGTTCTGCTATCTCTTGGCCATCAGGGTGGCGTGCAGTGTTAGTTAAATTTGTTGCTAGTCGCGAATCTAACTGGGATTATTGTCAGTTATTTACCTACTATGGAATGTACTATTTTAGTTCTAACTCACTAATAACTTTTAGTGAACGTGTTTTGTTCTTTCTTTACATTTGCACTCTTTCTTTGTCGCTCAGGTGGCGAGAAGTCCTTGCTTCATCAATTCAACTCTTGAATCAGGTATATTGTTTCCTGTCCTGTCGGACGACAACGCCTAATGAAGAGAGAGAAAATTCGTAAAGTTTGGCAACATGTCCTGATGGAAAAATCTTCCTAAATTGCCGAAGGGATGTGAATTTTTTTTTAATATTCGTCTATAACCAAGAGGCAGTTTGAACACTCGCGAACCAAAAGGTTAGGTAACTTAGGCAGAGAAGTTTTCACCACTCCTCTCCCTCCCCTCCCTCAGCCCTCCTGTCAGTCCTATGGGGTGGGTGGACCTGGATACTCAATTTTGACGAATTTGTCTTTAAATCAGCTTGTCCGAAAACTCAAATTATATTCAAGGCCTTTTTTTCTTCCCAGGTTCAACAGTCACTGGACACTCTAAAGGAGGAGCTGGACAGAGAGCATACTTCTACTTCTCCAGTACAAACGTGAAGAGTACGCGAATGGGCAGGATCATACCAAAGTCTGAGACAAAATGTTCGCTGTGAAAGAAGAATAGTCTGGTACAAGACACTGATGGGTGGGACCGTGCCGTGGAAGAGTTCCAAGAGTTCCAAGAGTTCCTAACTCAGCAAGTTCCACTGCTGAGTTAGGAAAATCGTCTTCACTTAGCTGTTGATATTTTGGCAATCCCCAAAAGCAATTCTCTTTTCGGAAAGGAAATGATTCAAATTATTTGTTTTTTTTTAATGTTTCTTTAATATTTTCAGACTAAGACAGTTATTATTTTTTTCTTTGGTTTAACTGCTTTCTTTGCATCTTGAGTTCTTCTGTTGATCAGCTAAAACAGGCGACTTTCTCATTCCTCTAATCATCAAGACTGTAAATATAGTACTAGGAACTGTAATACATTCGCTAGGAAGGCAAACGAAGAAACCAGTTATATTGTGTGTGTAGCATTCACTAACGGTGTGGTTCGAAATCAATTTTATTTACAATTCACAAGGCATTCAATTCTCTAATGGATTTTAACCTTAAAAATCAAAGAATTTTATTTTGTGCGCAAATTTGTACAAGATTGACGCCATAGACTACAATTCAACGTTATTCAAGGATAGATTTAGCCACTGACTTGAAGTAAAGGAGGCGTTCATTTAAGGCGGCTGGAAAGAATTTTTCGCAACGCCTACCGATTATATTCAAAGCGCTTAAAAAAGCAACTTATCCGCTTCACAGTTAAACACGGTGGGTATAGCCTGACAATCACTGTTATCATCTTAGCGTTAAGGGGAAATCCTGTGAGACACTTTTGGGGGACTCGGGAAAACTGTTTGGAGCCACCTTAATTCAGTTTAAATTATACAAGCTATTCAATTCAAAGAAAATCGTATTGTATTGATACAAGAAAATGCTTATGTAAGTTGTTGGCCAGAAATTGTACAGTTTGATTCCAGGAAGAGTTATTAGATGTACCTCTGAGGTCGTTAAATAAACATGCATTAAGTAAATAACTGTGAAATCATTTATATAAACGTACACTAAGTAAATAACTGTGAAATGATTTATAGATAGAAACAATGAATAGGACGATATTCCACAAAATGACGGTTGAAAATTAAAACCACAAAATGTACAGAGAAAAATTTCCCCCCTCAGCCAAGAAAGCTACTACTGTTATAATCTTACAAAGTTTCATCTGGGTAGGACGGTAAAGTTCCAGCAGAGAAAATTTAAGGTTTTTAAAGATTCCTCAGAAAAAAAGTTATCGAACAATGTCTCATTCCTAGTTCCCTTGCATATTTGCTAGCGCACTGATCGTGAAAAAAAAGTCAAATTCTCTCCCGAGATAGTTCTAATTACTAGTTCTCTAAGCTGGAACGTGGCCAGAAGGATTTCCTGAGAAAAGGGTTGATACTTCATTTCCTAAAGTGCTTTTCTTTGCCCGTAGCCTACACCATCGCTAAGTAGTGTGGAGATAAGTACTTCTTTTATGTGGGGCCATTTGAGGTGGGGCTAATTGCGAATTACTTCCGTCACGTGACATGCCCTTATTTGTATACTGGTTCTCAGCCGAGCGCGATACTACGGTAGAGTGGAGGTCTTCGCTATGGAGGGAAGTGATACTGTACTCGGGGCTTTCTTGGTGAAATGCCTCTGGAAAATGTACAATTTTATTTAGAAACATAGTATATAGTTATCTTTGAATGCATTATGATGGTTTGGCCCTTCCGACATACTCGAATTTAGCCACGAAGGCGGCATTAGTACAAGGCTAAGAAAGTCAACAGACTATCTGAAGGACATTTTACATGAATTGTTCCGGTAACGGCAATCGCTTTCTTCATGGCAGCACATAATAACGTGGTAAGAATTGTATTTCTTTAGTACCATGGAATTTCCTTTTACCTATTGTCATCGTATGTTCATCCAGGAGCAATTGGACCTTAACTTCGTAAGCTCGTATTAACATTGGACGGGAATTCCCGGTATACACTCACATTTTAATTTGTCAATTAGAAAGTTGCTACACACACCTTTGCTTGAATAGCGTTATTGTGTGATTAAAAAGTTAATTCATTGCAATTTTAGGGCATGAAGGCAGACCCAGAACTACTCTTTTCGAAACTTGAAAGAATTGGCAAAGGCTCGTTCGGTGAAGTGTATAAAGGGTAAGTTGAAATTTCGTTTAATTTATATGTGTAGCTTCGACCGTAGTTTCCTTCCTTGTGGATAATTTATTTTGATGAGATCTTATAGCACAGTGAAAATGATACCAACCATGTGCTGCAAGGTTTTATATTTCCGTAGTACAACAAAATTGTATTTGCACAGAGGGTCAGTCAATTGTGGTCTGAAGATACCGTATCTTTCCAACATGTTAACCATAATGTAAATAGTGATTTTTTTTTTTTTTTTGCATGATAATTTTCCATAACTAACTTTCCTACATTTTCGCTTTCTTCGAAATTGTCGTCAGAAGAAAAATTAGAAACAAATGGTTGCTTCTAGCTAAGTGAAATATCTAGAGTAATACTGTGTCTAGGAACGTATTTGGTGAAGCTGATATTAACATGTAGCCTTTACAGCTTTTAATACAGTGTGATTTATAAAATCCGTTTGAAAGTTACATGGGCTAGCGAAAGAAGCAAATCGATGTCATGGAATGTGAAAACGGCACACTTAGCTTGTCTTTGCATTTATTAAAATTTTCCCAAAGTTACTTTTTTTGGTGCTTCACTTTCCACATCACCGAGTTTTTTTTTCAGTTTTTTCTATCTCAAAGAGGTACAATAGTGTATGATAAGTGGATTGATTCGTTTTCTGAGTGTCAGTGAGAGTTCACTCCATGTGAAGTAATATTTTCATGAAAATCTTGTGTGCCTTTTGTGTAAATTGTTGGAGTTACCTAGACTTGTGGTTGTATCTCATAAGTTACCATTACTGCTGGATCACAAGAGTATGATCAAGCCAGTTTATGATTGATGGCCACTCAAACTACATGCTAATCATTCCAAATAAGGAAACAGTGAAACCAAACAAATACTAAGTCTTAAGTAAAACATGTTGTTTGTTAGAAAATCTTGTAAATTCAATGGGGTCAGGTTCATAATCAGTCATTTGGCAGGGAGTGAATTGAACATTACCTATAACTTCCTATAGCACTTTGCTTATGCCAGATAGATGTGTAAATGTGAAAGCTGAACATATCTTCAGCAGTAACAGTGTTATGCTTTATTTTAAGCATGACAAGTAAAATAAATTTTTCAACACTAGAGCAATCCTTTTCTTGTTGAATGAAAAGTTTTGGTGATAATAAGAGGTACTACTGCTGATTGTAAATTTTACTGGATACCCCTCTGAAAAGGGAACATTGCATTCGTTTTGGAAACTGCTTGTATCTGGGTTTATTTCAATGCTAATTTTACCATGTACTTTGTCACAATCTGAATATTTGGACCAAGGCTGGTTGGAAAATTCCATATTGAATGCAGATTTTAAAATGTAACATAATTTGTCCAACCAGACTGTTTTTCTTACTTTTTTGCTTTGTTCTGGTTTGACAGCATAGACACTAGAACAAATGGAACTGTTGCCATAAAAATTATTGACTTAGAAGAAGCAGAAGATGAAATTGAAGACATCCAGCAAGAAATTACAGTGCTGTCTCAGTGTGACAGTGCTTTTGTCACAAAATACCATGGTTCATATCTTAAGGTATATTTTTTTGTCTTTTGTTGAAGGTTAACTTTGTGTGATATAAAATTTTGCTTTGATTTGATGATTCCAAAATAGTAACAAGGGGTACAGCTGTAGTCCATATTTAGGAAGGTTGCTGAAAAAAAAGTGAAAAAGAGCAGACCAAAATATTCTAATTGCTTAGAGGGCAATACTACTCCATATCCATGACACATGACCATCTACACGGCTGTCTGAAATTAAGACCCATTGGTTGCCATTGCAACTAGTTGAGACTGAGTATGGGAAACAAGTATTCTAATTCTAGTTGCTAGCAGTTGACTAGTTTTTTATCATCTCATGTTTTAAACCAAGCTCTTCAGAAAGTGCAGTCAAAATAAAAATCATACCCATGGCTTTTTCTTACAATAGTCAGGCCATTGTGCTAAAATAAAAATTAAAAAAAAAAAAATGAAAAATCGTTTAGATTAAGGAGAACACTGCCATTTTGATACTGATCATTCAAAACAGGACTGTGACACAGCATTAGACAATAGTGTTATAAGGCTATTCATGTTTAAGCCACAGCATGGTTATTCTTCCAAAGATGATTCCAAAATCTGAAACATCTGTCTCTGATGGTCAGGAGCACAGGGGGTTGGCTAACTCAAGTATAGTTATTTCAGCGTGTCTTTTTGTCACTAGGGAACAAAGCTATGGATTATTATGGAGTATCTCGGTGGAGGATCAGCTTTAGATTTGGTGAGGAAGTTACACTTTAAGAGTTCCTTCTACTTCTTCAGTCTATACTCCATACATGCTTACAAATGTCTTATGGCAAAAATGTATCATAATGTTTAATAGTAAATGTATCCAGGGAACAACACCCATGAGTTCATGATAGATGAAAACAGTTTTTCATTTCTGATTTACTGTAAACTGTGCATGATACTTCTTACATTGTAGTGCATCACATCCATGTGATATGATTTAATCCTTTCACCTTAAGCAATATTTTCACCCACCACCCCAGCCTCCCTTCCTTGCAGGCAGATGACATGTGCTTGATGAGAAAATTTAGTCCTTGTAGCATTGAAGGGGTTAACCTTTATTTATTTTTGTATGGGATCCTCCTGTAGTCTTGCAGCCTGCAATTTGCTTTAAATCCAAAATTGACATGATTGATATTGGTTCGCCATGTATACATCAAAATTGATTGTGCTGATGCCCTGATAAACTTACTAAACTAATCAAAAATCATGAGGTGCAACATAGTGATTTTACAGCAAAGCTTTGATCATTTTTGACATTATCTCTCTAAAATAATAATTTAGAGAATGGGAATTAGGTCGATTCTTTTCCACTTAAAATTTGGGAACCTGCCTAATGCAAGAATTTGCACTGCTTTTTCTCCCAACTAGCTGCCAATATTTACATCTGAAAATTGCAAGTAGCTCTTAATACTTATAGTTCTAGTCTTTTTGACAACATGCAGCACATTAAGCTTCTAATTTTAACAGCACTAACCCCACCTGTATGAAGGTTTTGAAGAAATATGTAGGTATTTGCTCATTCAACTTTCTGTCAATAGCTATTTTTTGCACACTTCTCAGAATTCCCAGATTTGTTAGATTACAAGTTTTTAGGTACCCTGCAACCCTTCTCAGTTAACCCTATCTGACTGTTAATTCTCCCTTCTAGCTGTTACACATTTCCTTGTAAATTTGTTATGAGAATTTAGTGTTAGATCAAGAGAACAACTTCTGCCTGATGAGTTAGAGTATACTCATTACCTGTTTGCTAGATAATGTACAGGTATAGACCACTTTCATAAATGGCTGCCAGATTAATATTCTTTTGTTTAAATTTAAATTAGCCCTTCTGGCCTCGCTTGAGATAATGTATTCTTTTGAATTTTGTACTGGAGAACTAGGCCAGAAGGGCTAATTTAAATTTAAACAAAAGAATATTAATCTGGCAGCCATTTATGAAAGTGGTCTATACCTGTACATTATCTAGCAAACAGGTAATGAGTATACTCTAACTCATCAGGCAGAAGTTGTTCTCTTGATCTAACACCAAATTCTCATAACAAATTTACAAGGAAATGTGTAACAGCTAGAAGGGAGAATTAACAGTCAGATAGGGTTAACTGAGAAAGGTTGCAGGGTACCTAAAAACTTGTAATCTAACAAATCTGGGAATTCTGAGAAGTGTGCAAAAAATAGCTATTGACAGAAAGTTGAATGAGCAAATACCTACATATTTCTTCAAAACCTTCATACAGGTGGGGTTAGTGCTGTTAAAATTAGAAGCTTAATGTGCTGCATGT